TTTGATGGTTATCCTAGAAGCTAGTACAGTGTTCTCTCTCATTATGTTAAATGTCCTTTAGAGACTGGAATCCTACTTGCTAATGAGATTATGAATAGTTAGAACTATAACCCTTCCCTCCCAAACTTGACCCTTCCCTAGAGGCATATTAATATCTTTTTGGATGAGAAGTATATTAAGCCTTGCAGTACTATTTGACTCTTTCCATGAAGAACAAATTTATTTTGGTAAGAATTACATTTGAAAAGTTTATTAAATCATTTTTTTAAGATTTTGTTTATTTATTTGAGAGAGAGAGAGCACAAACAGGGGGAACAGGAGAGGGAGAAGCAGGCTCCCTGCTGAGCAGGGAGCCCAATGTGGAGGTTGATGCCAGGACCCTGGGATCATGACCTGGGCCGAAGGCAGATGCTTAGCTGACTGAGCCACCCAGGCACCTCTGAAAAGAGTTTTTAAAAGCATAGACAGAGGTCAGGGCTGCGAGTATATGTAAGGGGACTGGGTGAGTTTTCCCTGCCGAGCCCTTGAGGTTGTATCTTTTTTTTCTATTTAATTTTATTTTATTATGTTATGTTAGTCACCATACATTACATCACCAGTTTTCAATGCACTGATCCACGATTCATTGTTTTCGTACAACACCCAGTGCTCCATGCAATACGTGCCCTCCTTGATACCCTTCACCAGGCTAACCCATCCTCCCACCCCCCTCCCCTCTAAAACCCTCAGTTTTGTTTCTCAGAGTCCATAGTTTCTCTTCGTTCATCTCTCCTTCTGATCCCCCCCCCCGCTTCATGTTTCCCTTCCTTCTCCTAATGTCCTCCACACTATTCCTTATGTTCCACAAATAAGTGAAACCATATGATAATTGACTTTCTCTGCTTGACTTATTTCACTTAGCATAATCTCCTCCAGTCCCATTCCTGTTGATGTAAAAGTTGGGTATTCATCCTTTCTGATGGCTGAGTAATACTCCATTGTATATATGGACCACATCTTTTTTAATCATTCATCTGTTGAAGGGCATCTTGGCTCTTTCCACAGTTTGGCTATTGCGGACATTGCTGCTATGAACATTGGGGTGCATATGGCCCTTCTTTTCACTACATCTGTTTCTTTGGGGTAAATACCCAGTAGTGCAATTGCTGGGTCATAGGGTAGCTCTGTTTTTAATTTTTTGAGGCACCGCCACACTGTTTTCCAAAGTGGCTGTACCAACTTGCATTCCCACCAACAGTATAAGAGGGTTCCCCTTTCTCCACAACCTCTCCAACATTTGCTGTTTCTGGCCTTGTCAATTTTTGCTATTCTAACTGGTGGAAGGTTGTATCTCAATGTGGTTTTGATTTGAATTTCCCTGATGGCTAATGATGATGAACATTTTTTCATGTGTCTGTTAGCCATTTGTATGTCTTTGGAGAAGTGTCTGTTCATGTCCTCTGCCCATTTTTTGACTAGATTATTTGTTTTTTGGGTGTTGAGTTTGAGTTCTTTATAGATCTTGGATACCAGCCCTTTATCTGTACTGTCATTTGCAAATATATTCTCCCTTTCTGTGGATTGCCTCTTTGTTTTGTTGACTGTTTCCTTTGCTGTGCAGAAGCTTTTTATCTTGATGAAGTCCAAATAGTTCATTTTTGCTTTTTGTTTCACTAGCCTTTGGAGATGTATCTTGAAAGAAATTGCTGTGGCCAGTGTCAAAGAGGTTATTGCCTATGTTCTTCTCTAGGATTTTGGTGGATTCCTGTCTCACATTGAGGTCTTTTATCCATTTTGAGTTTATCTTTGTGTATGGTGTTAGCGAATGGTCGAGTTTCATTCTTCTGCATGTGGCTGTCCAATTTTCCCAGCACCATTTATTGAAGAGACTGTCTTTTTTCCATTGCGTATTTTTTCCTGCTTTGTTGAAGATTATTTGACCATAGAGTTGAGGGTCCATATCTGGGCTCTCTATTCTGTTCCATTGGTCTATATGTCTGTTTTTGTGCCAGTACCATGCTGTCTTGGTGATCACGGCTTTGTAATATAGCTTGAAATGAGGCAACGTGATGCCCCCAGCTTTGTTTTTCTTTTTCAACATTTCCTTGGTGATTCAGGGTCTTTTCTGATTCCATACAAATTTTAGGATTGTTTGTTCCAGCACTTTGAAAAATGTCACTGGACTTTTGATCGGGATGGCGTTGAAGGTATAGATTGCTCTGGTAACATAGACATTTTAACAATGTTTATTCTTCCGATCCATGAGCATGGAATGTTTTTCCATCTTTTTGCGTCTTCAATTTCTTTTATGAGTGTTCTGTAGTTCCTAGAGTATAGATCCTTTACTTCTTTGGTTAGGTTTATTCCGAGGTATCTTATGGTTTTTGGTGCTATTGTAAATGGAATCGTTTCTCTAATTTCTCTTTCTACAGTTGCATTGTTAGTGTATAAGAAAGCAGCTGATTTCTGTGCATTGATTTTGTATCCTGCCACATTATTGAATTGCTGTATGAGTTCTAGTAATTTGGGGGTGGAGTCTTTTGGGTTTTCCACATAAAGTACCATGTCATGTGAAAAGAGAGAGTTTGACTTCTTTGCCAATTTGAATACCTTTTATTTCTTTTTGTGGTCTGATTGCTGTTGCTAGGACTTATAGTACTATGTTGAACAATAGTGGCGAGAGTGGGCATCCTTGACATGTTCCTGATCTTAAGGGAAAGGCTCTCAGCTTTTCCCCATTGAGGATAATATTCACTGTGGGTTTTTCACGGATGGATTTTATGAACCTGAGGAATGTTCCCTCTATCCTTATACTCTGAAGAGTTTTAATCAGGAAAGGATGCTGTAGGTTGTATCTTTATTTCCCACCTTGCCAGTTACCTCTCAGCATTCAGTATTACATGCAAAGGTGATGTTTTGTGCATAAATATTGCTAAAGTTTGGAAGACCATAAAGATTGGGTTCAAGGCTTCTAGCCACACACAGTTCCCCATTTTTCTATTAAATTAGGGCATGTGGGACATACAGTATTGAGGAGGCATTAAATGTCTTTGACTTCCATATTTGTCTTATACCCTGGACCTAGACTGATTTCTAGAAGGCTTGTCCAGGAAACTTTTTCGAATTGGCAGCAGCACTCCTCACTTGAAACCCTTTTCATCATGGGTGTTTTGTGACAGGAAGTAGACACCGTAAACTGCAAGGTGCAGCAGATTGCTTAATCAAAATATATGGACACTGAGGCCCAGAATGAGACAAAGGAGAGAACCAGAACCTGAGGTTGTAGAATCCCAGAAGCTGGAGAGAGAATTCTCTGCTGATCAAAAAGAAAAAAAGTTTTTCATCTAAATGAAATATTGTGCACTGGAAAAATGACTACCTGTTTGTCGTGAGAAATGCATCCAGCCTTACAATTGCAAACTTTAATGGAGTTTGTTTGTTAAAGATTTAGGCCAAGAGGAATTGATAATGAGAGAGAGACAAAGGTCTAAAAAGGGAAACAATCATTGGGCTTGTATTTAATCACTTCGTATTTTCTCAGACCTCAGTCATGTCATTATCTGGCTGTGGTGCTTACAGAACTTAATTAGGGGAGTTCAGGCAGCAATGGGAATAGGAGGCCAAAATGAAAGGGTAACAATTTAAACGGATCACCAGCAGGTGCCTGGTGTGGATGGAGATGAAGCCATTTAAGAACCTAATTGTAGAGGAAGCTCTTGACATTGATCATTTGTGAAAAGGAGATTTTTCTTTTCTTATATATGTGGTTTTGTACACTTATGTCTACAAACCTTCAGCACTGGTACGTCTGATCATCAGCTTGTGGAATTACTAACACCAATCCACTTTGAAAGAGCATGCAAGGTTATTAACTTTGGCAGGAAATGAAAATTTGGCCTTAATATACATGTGAAATTGAATTGTCTGTAGCACAAAGCTTTGGAGATTACCCATGCAAAATGAGAAAACTATCTAAATTTAAAATTGTCCTCAGTACAGTGAAAAGTAATTTTGCAGACTGCGTTTTTACTGCACTGAAATCCATGAAGAGATGGGCTCTATTAATTTAGATTTAAACAGAGACTCTGTATCTTCTAAAAATGGTAAATGAGATGGAAAATGTACTTTAAGGGGAGAAATGAGTTTCTGGAAATGCTGCAGGCAAGCAGGTTCTCTACTCCACATCTCTGAGTCTGCCCTGAGACCAGTCGGCTTCAGAGGGAAGGCTCTATCTACTGTGACAGGCATTTGGAATAAGGACATTCAGACAACACCTCAATTATATATATAGCAGGCTTCAAGAACAGGATAAAGAAGCAAGTCAAGTACGGCCCAAAGCAAGAGTTATTGGCAGTTTTTACACCATAATTCCTAAAGTGGCCGGGTCCTTGGCAGAGGAAAAAAAAAAATTAAGGAGGGATTGAATTTATTTTCTCAGATCTCACTACCTCACAGTAATTTTCTTCTAATCTCTGCCTGGAAAGATACCGGAGTAGGGAATTTGGTTACTCGACCTACCTTCTCACTCAAAAACTTAACTTCTTTATAAGGAGAAATTGAGTTTTTCACTCCCTAGTCTTTACATTTTTTTTTAGCTCACAAGAACAAATATTACTTGTTTATTGATTAAAGTAAATGATTATTTGTTAAATAAACAGGTGACTGTTTAGAACCATGGTTTTGATAACCTGTCATGTAACCATCAAGAATAATACATGAACACACAAGAGCCAGAGGGACAAGGATTCATAATAAACTTAGGTTAGAGTTCTCCGAGGGTCTCGGAGTGTCTATTCTTTACGGTTGCAGTGATGAAGAAACAGAGTGAATGCCTCTGTCTGGTTCTTAGAGCTGCTCAGTAGTAAAGCTGTGTCTAGAACTAAGGTCATCTGAACTTAGGCATAGTTTACATATGTGTTAGGGTTTATCAACAATCAACACTGCGGAGTTGGCAACAAACCGAAGTAATGCAGTCAGCAGCCCATTCCTCATCTTCATGTGATTTTCTTTCTGCTTCTCAGGTATCGCTCTGCTTTACTTACATCTCTATGATGTGTTCGGGGACCCCGCTTACCTCCAGATGGCACACGGCTACGTAAAGCGAAGTCTGAACAGTCTGACCAAGCGCTCCATCACCTTCCTGTGCGGGGACGCAGGCCCCCTGGCGGTGGGCGCCGTGGTGTACCACAGGATGAACAGTGAGAAGCAGGCGGAAGACTGCATCACCCGGTAATCACGTTTCTTTTCGAGGATTATTATCAAGACGTCATTACATATTCATTCTGTATGTGTGTTAGCAAAAGAACATTTTAGTGAAGTTACTTTTCCCTCAGCAGTAAATCTCACTACTGTCATTTGATCACGTCACACCTCATTCCGATGTAGTTAAGGAACAACCAGTAAAATTCCCTATTTTATTGTAAGATGTCATGACACTGAGGGGCGCCTGGGTGGCTCAGTTGGTTAAGCGACTGCCTTCGGCTCGGGTCATGATCCTGGAGTCCCGGGATCAAGTCCCGCATCGGGCTCCCTGCTGGGTGGGGAGTCTGCTTCTCCCTCTGACCCTCGTCCCTCTTGTGCTCTCTGTTTCTCATTCTCCGTCTCTCAAATAAATAAATGAAATCTTAAAAAAAAAAAGATGTCATGACACTGACCCACACCAGATCAAACATCAGTTTTATAACAAAAATGAGATCAGAAGCCTAATCCTGGGATTACTAATCCAAGGTGCTATCCAAGATGCTATCCAAGATCAATAATTTGAAAAATGTGGTTCATTTCCTGTGATGGGCTGGGAAAGGCCTCCTCATGGACTACAGACTGACTCAAAATTGCTTTTCTTAGGAGCCAATAACATGCAAATCCAGATTTTTATCTTTAATAGAGATCGGGGAAGCCCACTAGAAGCTTGTGAATTATGAAGAATTACTAAACTTGTGTACTAATAAACTACAATTATTGTTTTACTAGAGTTTATTGAGCACAAAGAATTCTGTTCAGAATTCTGGCAGCCACGCAACTCTGCATGCAGTGCTGTTAGGCTCCCACTGAGTGTGTCCACATGCAGAGAGTTGCAATTCCAGCAAAGGCTTTTGGTTGTGTTTCGTTATTTAATAGCCTTTACTTTATAGAGCAATTTTCAGTTCACAGAAAAATTGAGAGGAGGGTACAGAGATTTCCCATATACATGCATAGCCTCCCCCATTATCAACATTCCCCACTGGAGTGATACACTTGTTACAATGGACAGGCACATATCACCCGAAGTCCATGGTTTATATTAGTTACATTAGTTGCATCTTGGTGTTGTGCACTCTGTGGGTTTGGACAAATGTATAGTGACATGTGTCCATCATTATATTGTCATACAGAGTAGTTTCCCTGCCCCAAAAATCCACTGTGCTCTGCCTGTTAATCCCTCTTCCCTGCTCCCTGACCCCTGGCTACTGTTGATCATTTTACAGTCTCCGTAGTTTTGCCTTTTCCAGAATGTCATAGTTGGAAATATTACAATATGTAGTCTTTTCAGATTGGCTTCTTTCACTGAGCGATACGTATTTAAGGCTCCTCTGTCTTTTCATGGTATGTTAGCTCATTTCTTTTTAGCACTGAGTAAAATTCCGCTGTCTGGATGTACCATAGTTTATCCATTCACCTACTGAAGGACATCTTGGCTGCTTTCAAGTTTTGGCAGTTATGAATAAAGCTAATGTAAACATCCAGTTCTGCAGGATTTCGTGCAGATGTAAGCGTACAGCTCCTTTGAGTAAATATCAAGGAGTACAATTGCTGGATCGTATTGTAAGGGTATGTTTAGTTTTGTAAGAATTTCCAAACTATCTTCCAGAGTGGCTGTACCATTTTGTATTCCCACAAGCAATGAATGAAAGTTCCTCGTGCTCGTGCTCCACATCCTTGCCAGGGTTCTAGATTTTGGCCATTCTAGTAGATGTGTAGTGGTATCTCGTTTTAATTTGCATTTCCCTGATGATGTATGATGTGGAGCATCTTTTTATATACTCCCTTGCCATTAGTATTGCTTCTTTGGTGAAGTGTCTGTTAAGGTCTTTCACCCATTTTTTAATTGGGTCCAGCAACATTTTAATCAGTGATTATCTCCAGTTTGACCATGGTTTTTGATTCCCACTACTTTTTCTTATAAATTTCTATTAGAATGGCATTTTCATCACTGATTTTGTTTGTGGAGGCCCTTTGGTGAATTTTACACTGTGCAGTGGTGTGTATTTCATTAACAGGCTTTTGGCCTAAAATTCTAGTAACTAGAGTTTTTTCTACCCCTCAAAATTTTATTATGAAAAATTTCAAACATACAGAAATGTTGAAACAGTAGTGAATACCTATATATCTACCCACATAGATTCTACCATTAACATTTTCCTATACTTGCTTTATCACATATCTAATCCATCTATCCATTTCAGAATGAATTACAGACATCAGTACCCTTCCTTCTAAATATTAAAGCATATATATTGTTTACTAGAGTTCAATATCTGTTTAGTTTTCTTCTTTTCATGTAAAGTTTATACACAATGTGCTGCCCAAGTTTTATGTATATTTGTTGAGTTTTGACAAATGCATTGCAACACAGAAACTACCTTTCTATTTCTTTGTAGCCAGTTTAAAGCCATTAGCCACACATTTGCTTTAGAGGCTCGGACGGAAGTCTCATTCAGTGAGTCACTCTTAAGTATCGCAAAAATAAGCCATAGTGGTCCCAATGTTTTACATGTAATGCCAGCCTTTCTCAGTGTATGTGCAGCCAGATAGTAATAGTTTGCTGTGTGAAAAATAAAAACAAGATTTAGGTATTCAGACAGGGGACTACGTATTTAAGGCTCCTCCATGTCTTTTCATGGTATGTTAGCTCATTTCTTTTTAGCACTGAGTAAAATTCCACTGTCTGGATGTACCATAGTTTATCCATTCACCTACTGAAGGACATCTTGGTTACTTTCAAGTTTTGGCAGTTATGAATAAAGCTAATGTAAACATCCAGTTCTGCAGGGTTACTCAAAGGAGCTGTGCGCTTACATCTGCACATCCACCTTTACTGGCTGCTCAGAGTCGTCAGGAGCTTTTGACACATGGGTGAAACTCTGGCGACTCTAGGGAGTAGAATTTGCCAAACTTGCCAAGTAGGTAACCCTTTTCCTCATGACATTTTAGAGCCTACTGTTGTAAGAAACCATCTTTGGGGCACAGTACCATATATTAATATTGGTTTATTTATAAAACACTCTTAAAAGTAAACTAAAATTTTTTGATACCTTGATAATAAAGATGTTTTTGTTATTTATAGCTTTTTGAAAACTTTTACAATGTTTCAACAGTATTTTATTTATAGCCAGTAGATTTGTTAAGATTAAATATATAGAATGCCGATAGTGAAAATAGGCCATTTATGGCCACAGTTTTGATTTTTCAGATTTCTAGAGTTCATGGCAGAACAGGAAGAAAAAAGGAATTATGTGTAAATTGCTTTCACATCTCCTCCCTTTTAAGGGAAAAATCTGTAAGTTTTTGCAACTCAATTGAAATGATTTGATGTCATCAGATATTTAATAAACCTACTTGGTTGTTTTATTTTTTACTGAACCTTCTTTCTCATATCACATAGGCCTTTGGAGCTATCAGAGACCCACAAGTTCTCTACATGGCCTCTGTGTTGTGCTCATTTTTCAGCTTACCTTTCCTATGGTTTCTTAATATAATAGTCTTTCAGGGGCACCTGGGTGGCTCAGTCATTAAGCGTCTGCCTTTGGCTCAGGTCATGGTCCCAGGGTCCTGGGATCGAGCCCCGCATCGGGCTCCCTGCTCTTTGGAGAGTCTGCTTCTTGCTCTTCCTCTGCCTCTGCCCCTCTCCCCCTGCTTGTGTTCTCTCTCTCTCTGTCTCAAATAAATAAATAAAATCTTAAAAAATATATGTATATATAAAATAGTCTTTCAGAATCATAATTCTGAGTTTTAGAGATCAAAGAAGTCAGTGTTTCCCTAAGGTAGGGATTCTTAAATTTGGGGCCCTGAGAATCTTAGGGCTTCCAAAGGTATAAAATCCCCAAATTGTATTCAGCATGGAGAGAACATTTACACTTTTTTGGAGGAGTCTGCGACTCCCCAAAAAGGAGTGTGTGTGCATGTGCCCGTGTGTCTACTCATGATCAGAATGTCCTGCAGTTGGCTGGGGCAGGTGGCAAGGAAGAGAATCAGTAGCACCAATTTTTCCTACTGTTTGACTTGTACCGGGTTCATTTTCACCATCCTGCCACACAGAGAATTGGTGCCACTACTCAGAGAGAGCGTTGCCTATTTACAATACCCCACTAAGTCACTAACTGCCCAGATACAGTGCTGTGGGGCCACTCTTCAGAACGACCAAGAGTTTTGGCTTTCTGATCAGGAAGTGTAGACTCTCTTTTGTAGTGTGATGAGTAAGAAAAGTACTTCTTTTTAAAAAGTTACAGGGGCCCCTGGGTGGCTCAGTTGGTTAAGCCGACTGCCTTTGGCTCAGATCATGATCCCAGGGTCCTGGGATCGAGCCCTGCATCGGGCTCCCTGCTCTGCAGGAAGCCTGGTTCTCCCTTACCTACTCCCCCTGCTTGTGTTCCTTCTCTCGCTGTCTCTCTCTCTCTGTCAAATAAATAAATAAAATCTTTTTATAAATAAATAAATAAATAAATAAATAAATAAATAAATAAAAAGTTACAAACCTTTAGATGATACAAGGTAAAAACTCTCCCCAGTCAAACCCTGGGGACTTATTGCCAGGAGTGAAACAGAACTTTGCTGGTTTTCTAAGTCTCCATTCTTCCTTCAGTGACATTCCAGTGACCTGTCTCTTCTGAAGATTGGTTGCTATTAATATCAACGTAGCAAAACAAATGGGGCTGCAGTGATGTGCTTCTGGGTTTGAGAGTTTTTGAAAACACATAAAATAACCTTTATGATTTACAAATGCTATCATTTCTTCACTTTATCTTGAGACTATGGCATGTAAAACCTGCATTTAGAAGGCCTACCTTTAATAATCATCAGACCCAGCTCAGGGGTTTTAATGACTTGAATTCAAATCCAGAAAAAAAAAGGAATACTTCCTTTTTTACCCTAAACTGTAAAGTATTACTTTAACAAGATGCTCTAAGCAATACTTCATTTTCAAGTATTTGAAAGGTATTTGCTATCTACTTTAAACTTCCCAAATGCAAATGAGTTTGGCTGCAAAATAATTGGAATGCTAATTATATATCGCCACCTAGGGATAATACAATCCATAAGGTTGGCAAATAAAGGAAATGTGGTTCAAACACATTTGGGTGAGAACATCTTTGGAGCTCATGCGATAATTGTTCCAAGTAACTTCCATAGAGCCATTTGTTTAAAAACTTCACAGGAATTTTTTTTGAATAATTCAATTCCCTTTACAAAAGTAAAGCAAAGTGCTTTTTTATATGTAAATTCTATGCAATTTGATATTAAATTAATAATAATCATTAAAACTTGATAATAAATTCTTAAATCAAAACTCTGAGATATTCCTTCTGTTTCCTACAACAGTTGAGTTTGTATCTAGTAAAAAGATTTTATTTTTATTTTCTTAAAATCTCAACATTACTGAGCTGCCAGTTGTGGCATGAGAAAAAAATAGAATTTTTCTTAATAAATGTTTTTTAAGTTCTTTAAAAATATTCGGGTGTGTGTGTGTGTGTGTGTGTGTGTGTGTGTGTGTGTGTATTATGATTTTGAAGTAGCAAAATGGCCCATAATTCTGCCATCCAGACAGCCCTGTTGACATTGGGGAAAAATTCAAAGTATACAAGAAAATGAAAAGTAACCTTTGGCCACCATGTCCCTGTTCCTAAGATAACCACTATTCCACTGTGAGTTTAATCCTTATATTTATAGAAGCAAAACCATGCATGTTTAACCAATTTAATGAGATGCCTCCATTTGTTGAGGTATAATATAACTGTCAGTAACTGCAATCCGCCGTGCTTTTTCACACCCCTCTTTTCCTGATGGGGAGAGAATTGCCTTAAGGATACTTTTATAACTTTTTCTCAGTCTGTTTCAGAACTGTTAGCCCCTCTCAGTCACTAAAAGCATCTCATTCTGTTATTAAAACCTGGTGTTTTCCTCCCCTCAGCGCAGGCTTATGGAAGTGGAGGCGAGGTTGGGAGAGGGGAATTGTCTGCTCTTTCCCAAGTACCCTCTCTTAGGAGCCAGGACACTCTTTGCTACACCTGTTGGTTATAGCTTGGTGGCAGCACTGGTTAGGTTTTTGTTTGCCTGTTTGTTTTTGGGTCTTTGTAGCTATTAGTGGCCTCCAGAGATTAGCAGTAGGAGCTATATACCCCATCAGCTCTAACCTTACCACTAAGTATGTTAAAATGAAAGCACAAGCAGTGGACCAAATTCTGCCAGATAAACCAAGTGTACAAACATTGATCAGGAAGAACATATACACACATACACACAAGTAGTTTCCTGTCCTGTTCTTGTGGCTCAGAGAAAACCACACTGTCCCCAGACAACCTTCCTAGGTCTTATCCATCAAACAGTAGTAGAGCCTGTACCCTCCCCCACACCTTCCACTTATCTTCGTCACTCGTTCCGCCAACAAAAAGCCACCTGCTAACATTTTTTTACTATATTTACCAGCAAATCCTCTGGTGTAGATTTTGATAAAGTTATTTGAAGGGCCAGATGCCTCTGAATGGTGATTCCTGATAAGAACACCTCAAATATAACCAGTCACCTCAGGGGTGTGATTGTGGATACTTCACATGCTTATCATAGGACTTATATTATATAGTGTTCATATGCTTATAATTCCTAATGCATAGACTAAACTTAGATGAGATACATGCACGGGCACTGGTTATACTTAACTACTTTGAAAGTAAATTACCACATAGATGACAAGAGAGTTTTACAACCAAATAATGGCTTTGTCATCAGGTAGTATGTTTAGTGTCCTAAGCTAGCTGATGACAAAACCATTATTTGGTAGGGCTGATGTCCTCTCATTACTGCTCTTTTCCTGAAATTCCCTGGCTCTTCCCTCATACTTTTCCAGCATGCTAAAGTCATTTTGTCAAGTCTCACCAAAAATTATATTGCTTTAAAACGTAACTTAAGTGGTGTCACATTGGTGTCACATTATATCCTATATATATAGGATAATTTAGAGATAATTGAGATGTGCTTTCAAAATTTCATGTAAAAAAATCCAAATGACAAAGACATTTTCCCTGTATATCATATTTGCTTTCCTACACGCTCCCCACCCCTCCCCCACAAGCACCCTCAAAAAGAAGAAAGTTTCATTCTCTGAGTTTATGGTTGTTTTCCTGAGCTCATTTTCCAGTGAACCTCACCTGCTTTCTGCTTTCCTGGGGCTTCCCATGTTGGTTCTCTGGAAAGAAATCTGGGGCTTTGGTTACCCTACTCTGCCAAGTATTCCCACCACTGTGCCTGTATCTGGGGCCCAGTGATGGGGAGGCGAGAAAGAAGTGAAGCAGTGGGTTCACCCCACCCTCCTGGGGCCACCACCTCTCTAGTCTGTGAGGAAGGGTCCCTCCCTCAGAGACTTGGCTTCTGTGAGCTCCTCTTGCCTTCATTTCTGCTGCCACCGTGAGATTGCTTGTGGCCTGGAGTGTGAGAAAACAGAAGACAAGGAAACATGAAGAAAACTGAGGGGCTGTACCCACTCTCTCTGATATTAGGAGTTCCCTTTCTCATTCTTTCTTGAAACAGAACTAAAGGGCTTCTTCCAGGACTCTCTCTTTCAGCCTTTGGTGCCCACTTCCAGGTTTGGGGCTGTTCTGAATTCAAGCCAGGGGAACACCATTGGTGAAAATATGGTAAACTCACCACTGGTTTGGTGGTGCTTCCAATCCTGGTCTTCCCCACTCTGCCTGCTACTGTTTACTGTTTAGAGTCCTCACATAGCTGCTTTGTGCATTCTCTCCAGGTCCTGGAGCTGCATTTACCAGGAGAGGCAGGGTGGAGCGTGCCTATACCACCTTCCCTGGAGCCAAAACCAAAACAACTTTTTCTGAAAAGCTGAACTGAGTCTAATGATAGAGAGTTAATAAATTATCATATAGCCATTTGATGGAGTACTACGCAGCCATGAGAAGGAATGAGACTACTCTGATACAGAGTGTTTGTCAGGATGTATTGTCAAACAGCAAGCCACAGAACATTTGGGGAGGTATATTTACAGATATGCATATTGATGCTCACATGTGCATAAAGAAATTCTAGGAATATCCAAGAATCTGGTACCCATGGTTGTTTCTGAAAAGGAGGGCTGGAAGGGGGAGACTGGGAAGACAGGGAGGCTGGCTGATAGCTCCGTGCCGTTTGCATTATGGTCGATTGTGGTAGGTCAGGCTGCCGTACAGACACCTCAGGCAGGCCTGAGCACATGTTAAGAAGAAAACCCAAAGAAGGAGGTATCTGGGGTGCAGCAGGCTTTTCATTTTATGGAAATAGATGACCCTTTGAGTTGACTGCATCCTTTCTGCAGACTAAATGCTGTACTGGGCAGCAGTTCTTAGCTTCTCTGACCCCAGCAGCTAGTCTTAGGGCATAGCTCCCGGAGGAACTAGGGAGGCTCCAGGTAGCCTCAACCACACATGCCTTTTCTTTTATTCTTTGAATTTGTCAGTTCCACTGTGAACTGAAGAAAAATGTAGTTGAGGGTTAATTTACCCTTTGTAGTCTGGCTCAGCCCACTTAATGTATAATAATATAATTTATAATAAAAATATATGAAAATATTTACCTTTTATATATAAATTAATTTTAATATATTTAAAATGTTTAACTATAATAGTGGGGCACCTGGGTGGCTCAGTCGGTTGGGCATCTGCCTTCGGCTCAGGTCATGATCTCAGGGTCCTGGGATCGAGTCCTGCATCGGTCTCCCTACACAGTGGGGAGTCTGCTTCTCCCTCTCCCTCTACTGCTCCCCCCATTCCTGCTCTCTCTCACTATCACCCTCTCTCTCTCTCTCCCTCTCTCTCTCTCTCCAAAAAATCTTCAAAAAAATAAAATAACTATAATAGTAATTTAATGTATAATCCCTAAATATATATTTGTGTGTGTGTGTGTGTGTGTGTGTTTTAAGTGTACCATTTTTAAGTATCTACCACTACCCGATCCCTTCCAAGTTATCTTAGGCATGTATTTTTATTGCCAGGCTAATTCACCTAAACAAGATTGACCTCCATGCTCCAAATGAAATGCTCTATGGACGAATGGGCTACATCTATGCTCTTCTCTTTGTGAATAAGAACTTCGGAGTGGAAAAGATTGCTCAAAACCATATTCAGCAGGTACCACATTTCTGTGCTTTTTGGAGTCCTGTTAGGATCCCAGTTGTTAACTGCCTGAACTCTTGGTTTTGTTTCTCCAATTAGCATACCCTGGGTAGAAGGAAGGTGTGTGTTGGCCTCTAAAGGTCAGGTGGGGTCAGAGAGCTGACAGCGTCACGCTGAGTGCATTGGAAACACTTAGAGAGCAACTGGGAGCTAGACGTCCAGCCTGCTCCGTTTGAGAGTGTCACGGCCTTTCGGAAGATGAGGGCCAGATTTCACCTCCCGGGTGCAGATGTCTCCTTTCGTGCCTGAAGAACTCATGCTTTCCTCTGTCACGTGAATTCGCATAAGCTCTAGTGAAGAGTTTAGAATTTCCGTATCTCCCTCTTTTAGGCAGAATACAGTCACCCCTGCTTCCTGAGCGCGGAATTAAACTGTGCCCGTCCGTGGCCAGAAGACCCTGTCTGACTCACCGTGTTCTCCATACCTCTTAGCAAAAAGTTCCTTATGGGAAGATTCTTATTTTGATTCTCTCATTATTTTGATCGGTTTTCTCCCTGTAGATTTGTGAAACAGTCTTAACCTCTGGAGAGACCCTCGCCAGAAAGAGAAACTTCACAGCAAAGACTCCACTGATGTATGAATGGTACCAAGAATATTATGTGGGGGCTGCCCATGGCCTGGCAGGAATTTATTACTACCTGATGCAGGTAAGAGGTGAAGGTGGTGGAACCGAGAAATGCGCTTGCTGACTGCCCGGGCCAGGGCAAGAAGACCGAGGCTCCCCCTCTGGCTTTTCATTCTGTCGACCAACTGCCTCACTCTCCTTGCCATTTCCTGGCCTCGACAAACAAGGACAATGTTTGCCAGCGTGCATTTTACAGTGTATAAACATAGAAGGCGCTGTGCCGTGGGATGCTGTCTGATTTGTAGGTGACCCGTACTTGCCTGCTTCGTGCCGCTTTGCAGACTGAAGTGTTTTGACCTATACTTCTATATGAAGTGCTTTCTGCTCTGCTCTGCTCTTTCAGCAAATGCCTTGAATTAATATTTTTGCATAGTATTAGACACCACTCACTGAAACAAATTCCAGAAGTAAGAACAAAATCAATAGAAAACAAATGAGCATATGTTGCCTACGGCTCACTTGGAGAGCAAAGCCACAGAGCCTTTTCAATGGATTTTGTGTAACTTACCTGAAAAAATAGCTGAATGCGCTATGCCCAGCCGTTCTTTGGATCTAATACTATTGGGAGACATCAGCCAAAGTCAAATAGACTAAGGAGAAGTAGGATTTACTGCAGCAAGCATAACCTGGAAGGGGAGGTCAGAAGAGGACTTCTCATGAGAGCGTCATTTCTGGGGGCTTATTTAGCTCTCTTTAAAGAGAAATTGGCACTTGTGAATAAGAATTCATAGCAAAAGAAAATTGATTTTTAATGACAGCAGAGGTGCCCCCCTCACCTTCCCAAAGTACAACGCAGCATAAAGAAAAGTGTTTCATTAATATGTTCAACATGAGTGCTCAGATATACATACATTAGCTGGTTGAGTAGCTGGCTGCAATAATGCAAAATCAATGTCAGACCTTCCGTCTCCCTATAACTAAACAATGACAACGAAGCTGAAAAACTCAAGGTTATTATTGCTTGTGAATGCAAAGTCACACTTTGAGTGTTATAGTGGCAGTAAGAGACCAACTTTTGTATTTGTTCTGCCCTTCTCAATTAGGAGTTTTATAATGAGGGATTTTGACGGTTCAGACTTAGACTCCTTTATTTTTCTGGCATCAACCTCCATGGCTCTGTATTTCCAGAAGTAAATATATATCCTTAAGTTTTCAGGAAGGAGAATTCATGTATTGCACAGTTTTGGGGTGAGTTAGAGTCATCTTACTTCCAGCTGCCTCCTTTTGGTGGCAGTGAGAAATCTGGAAACCTACGTTCGGAGTTTTCCATTGGCAGATTATTGTCTATTTGAAACGATTTAACTTTTATTTATTTACTTAAGATTTTATTTATTTATTTGACAGAGAGAGACACAGCGAGAGAGGGAACACAAGCAGGGGGAGTAGGAGAGGGAGAAGCAGGCTTCCTGTGGAGCAGGGAGCCTGATATGGGGCTCGATCCCAGGACCCTGGGATCATGACCTGAGCTGAAGGCAGACACTTAACGATTGAGCCACCCAGGTGCCCCGAAATGATTTAACTTTTAATACTGAAAGTCCATTCCAGTAGGTACTTATGTATCATAAACGTAAAAAGAAATATTAAACATAAAACATAATATTATGTTTTATCATAATATCATAAACATAAAACAAAATATTATTTGTAGCCCATTTTGATAATTCCTGCAAATTTGAGGAAAATTCACTCCTTCTACTCTAGCATTTTAAACTGAGCTGGAACAATATTCTCCGGGTAGAGTGAAATCTATATATGCCCTCAAGAACTTAGTGCACATTCAGTACCTGTGCATCACAACACGGGCTATCTCCTTACCCACATGCCCAGCCTCCACCTGACAACGACAACACTTTGAATTTGTTATTTGAAGAAGTTGGTAGTGCATTGAATTAAGAACAGGACCAAAAGAAACTAAACCATTATATCAAAAATGGAGGCTCAGGGTGCCTGGGTGGCTCAGTTGGTTGAGTGTCCAGACTCTTGCTTTCGACTCAGATCATGATCTCATGTTGGGCTCTGTGCTCAGCGGGGAGACTGCTTGAGATTCTCTCTCCCTCTCCCTCTACCCCTCCCGCCGTACTTGCTCTCGTTATCTCTCTCTCTCTAAAATAAATAAATAAATCTTTAAAAAAAGAAAGCCAAATTCTTTAAAAAAAAAAAAAGTTTCTCAAATGCCCTATGTTAGTGCATCCTATAAATCTGTACATCATTGTATCAAAATAATACTGCATAAATGTCAGTCCCAAATCCTCTGCAGAAGGCTTAATCTAGAGTCACACAGCAGTTTGGGATCTAGATTCCAGGTCTCCTGACTTGTTAGCTTCCTCTTTTTTTGGAAACATCTACCACTTCTCTAAATGTAAAAATGAAAGTTGCACTTACATTGTCTAATGCATCTCTTTGTGGCCTTTAAAGTATGAATAAGGTATTGGGCCATCTGGGTGGCTCAGTTGGTTAAGCGTCCAACTCTTGAGCTTAGCTCCGTTCTTGATCGTGAGGTCAAGTCCTGCATTGGGCTCCATGCTGGGTGTGGAGCCTCCTGACAATAAAAATTAAATAAAGTATGCCTAAGGTATTAAAACCTTAAGAAACATCTCTTGTGTTCATGCATTGACTTAGGAAAATTATTTATACGTATGTATACAATGATAAATATTGAAAAAAAGTATGTACATAAAGTCCCAAGAGTTAAGAGATAGCCTGATTTTAGTATGTTCCAGTAGGTTAAAAAAAATTGGGATGGAATCCAAACCGCCAGCAACTTCTAGTTCCTTTTGGTCATGTTTCATTTCTGGCTTAAAACTAATCCCCGGGGCACCTGGGTGGCTTAGTTGGTTAAGCATCTGATTCTTGATTTTAGCTCAGGTCATGATCTCAGGGTCATGTCATGAATCAAGCCCTGCGTCAGGCTCCACGCTGGGTTGGAGTCTGCTTAGGATTAATTCTCTCCCTCCGTCTCTCCCACCCTCTCTATCTCTGTCTCCTTCCCTTTAAAACACACACAAAACTTATCCCCAAGGCTTAGGAAGATCTGTTTGCTTTAGCAGAACTAATAATTCCCTTTCTCATTTTTAGCCCAGCCTTCAAGTGAACCATGTGAAGTTACAAAGTTTGGTCAAGCCCAGTGTAGATTATGTCTGCCAGCTGAAATTTCCTTCTGGCAATTATCCTCCATGTGTGGATGATAATCGAGATCTTCTAGTCCATTGGTGTCACGGTGCACCTGGAGTGATCTACATGCTCATCCAGGCCTATAAGGTACTGTGAATTTTCTCATTTTCAAAATAATTTGGAAAATGTAACCTAAAACTCCATAACTTACAATTGTTTTTATGCATAATCTTTGAAGAAGCAGTAGAGAAATTACTATTGGATGTACAATCACTTTGCTACATGGATTATAATTCATTCTCACAGTATCCATCTATATCAGAGCAGAGACTATTTCATCAGTCAGGAGACTGTTTCACTGACAGGTAGAATAGCCAAGATTGTAGCCTCAGTGGCAGAGCCAAGAGAAGTATCCCAGAAATTCAGTTAAAAATAGAATCTTTCTTGGACACGTGGGTGTTAAGTTGGTTAAGGGTCTGACTTGATTTCGGCTCAGGTCATGATCTCACGGTTGTGAGATGGAGCCTGCTTAAGATTCTATACCCCCCCCCCAAAAAAAAGGAAAAAGAAAAAAAAAAAAAACACTATATAGGGGCACCTGGGTGGTACAGTTGGTTACGTGTCCAGCTCTTGGTTTCAGCTCAGGTCATGATCTCAGATGATTTAAGAGCCCCGCACCGGACTCCACACTCGGTGCAGAGTCTGCTTAAGTTTCTCTCTTCCTCTCCTTCTACTCCTCCCCGCCACACTTCCTCTCTTACTCTTTTTCTCTCTCTCAAATAAATAAATACATCTTAAAAAAAAAAAATAGAATCTTTCTTGTGCATTGCTGGTAGGATTGTAAAATGGTGTGGCTGCCATAGAAGAGAGTTTGGTAGTTCCTGAAAAAATTAAACATAGAATTAATATATCACTCAGTAATTCAACTCCTAGGTATATACACCCAAAAGATTAAACACAAGGATTCATATAGATTCTTGTACACAAATGTTCCACAACAGCATTATTCACAATAGCCAAGAGGTGGAAACAGTTCAAGTGTCCGTCCTCAGATGAATGGATGGATAGACATACACACAAAATGCTGTGTGTATGTATACATATGTACAATGGAATATTATTGAGCCATATGAAAGAATGAACTTCTGATCCATACTGCAACATGCATGAACCTTGGAAATATTATGCTAAGTGAAATAAGCCAGATGCTAAAGGACAAATCACATATGATTCCATTTGTATGGTGTGATGGTTAGTATGAGGTATGTAGAGTAGGCAAATTCATACAGAAAGAAAGTAGAATAGAAGTACCAGGGAGTAGTGCTGGGGTGGGAGTGCATCATCACTTAATGGGTACAGACCTTGTTTGGGGTGATGAAAATGATTTGGAAAGAGTGGTAATGATTATACAACTTTGTGAAGGTAATGAATGCCACTGAATTATACACTTCAAATGATTAAAATTGTAATTTTTATATTTTCTTTATTTTACTGTAGTAAAAGAAATGCGGATACCATTTCTAAAAAGCATGCTATGGCAGAGCCATAGAGAAGAAAGGGGTTTTATTTGAAAGAGAAAAAAAATACAAGTAAACCAAGATATCTGTGTCCATTGGTGCCAAATCTACAAATTACAAGTCTATGGACTATATGTAAATAAGCATTGGCATCTCATATTCTAAATAAGCTTCTAGTATGTCAAATTTTACTTGCAGAAAGTTGGATATAATGGAAAAACTTTTAAACTGCCTTATACTACTTTTAAGAACACTTAGTTTGCAGTGAAATATTAGAAATGTCTACTCAGAATATTTCTTGAGTCTTTGATCAATATATAGAAGATTTTAGGGGTGTATCTCTATTTTTCTGACAAAGTATAGTGTTCTATAATCAAATCCATTTTTGTAATCAATTTTCTAAACAGTTTCTTCTCCAGTATGTGAAGAAATGTCCTAATAGTGAAGGGCATTATTGTTAACCAAAGAAGATAGCGTGTGGTCCTTGGGAAAGTGACTACTGCCAACAGCAAGTCACAAGTAAAATAATGCTGCTTCTCCAGTAACACCTGCGTCCGTAAGCAGAGTGCACATAAAATGTAGATGGCACACAGGCAAGGTCGTGGGCAGTTATTTAAAAGCAAAAAAAGCAAAGCTAATAAACTTCTGTAATTCGTCCCCATCGCCACGACCCTTCTCCCTGGCTCTAAATCCCTGACCCTTTCTTGCCAAGCCACCTCCATCTCACCTCCCTTCTGCCCTCTCCCCTCCTTTCCCATCAGGAAGGAATGTCAGTAGAAGTTTCTTTGACATCTCTTGTAATAAGACTTGCCCTTGGCTCTGCAGGTGTTCCGAGAGGAACAGTACCTCAGCGACGCCTACCAGTGTGCCGATGTGATCTGGCAGTACGGATTGCTGAGGAAGGGGTACGGGTTGTGCCACGGCACCGCGGGGAATGCCTATGCCTTCCTCACGCTCTATAACCTCACGCAGGACAAGAAGTACCTGTACAGGGCCTGTAAGGTAGGCATCACAGCTGTCGGAAAGAAAACACCTTCCCCCTGGGAGACTGGAGAAAGGGCTCTAGTTCAATCTGAGTTGATTCATTTATCTTTTGAACCATGAGTGTGTGGAACAAATCCAGTTACGTAAGAAAAGCCTTCAAAAACCATTCAGTTAAATTTACCTTCTTGGATAAGGACATAGTTCTACTCAACAGCATTTATGGGCGGGACAAAAGAAAGAAATTCTGCTTTGATAACTGGGGAGACAGTGGCTCAGACAGCTCATAAACTTCCTCCCTCCCGTGCTTCATCCTCTCTTTCAGACCATCTGTTTCTCTGCATCAACCCCTTTTTTCTGCCTTGAAGATAGTTTTTGACTTTTCAGAGTAATTCTTAGGGATAATTTCTATCCACTTTGGAGGGTCTCTGGAAGAAGTCGCTACAGTAACTTACCTTGGTCTCACTTTCAGTTTGCTGAGTGGTGCTTAGATTACGGAGAACACGGTTGCAGAACGCCGGACACCCCCTTCTCCCTCTTCGAAGGTATTTTCCACATGTTTACTATTTACTCCACATGTTGCCTTGTAACGTCAGCATCTACTTCTCTGCTTGGTAATCAGTGTATTTGAATTTGAGCTTTATCAAGAAATTAATTTTATAGTCATTTCTTGAACTACTTCTCCTTACTTCCTACTATGAAAACTCAGTATTAAAAATCAGGTAGTACATGGACCCTCTCAGACCTAATCGTAGGAGTCCTACTGGTGACCACTACCTATGGAGCCAAGCACACACTTGGCATTTTGCAGATGCCATCATAAATCGTCTCAGCGAAAACATACACGCGTCATGATCCCCATCTCACAAATGAGGACCTCAGGTAAGTGGCCCATGGTGCCATGTGAAGGAGCTGACATGTGATAAATGGCAGGGCTGTGCCTTGAACTTCTCAGGTTCAACCCTCCTTCCTGTCTTCCGCCCAGATGAAGAGACTGAGCACCTCACTAGTGATCTCCTCTAGTGTGGACCGGCAACATGGATAAATACGGGCAGACTCCCCTTGCATGGAAGCCCTTGCCATTTGTATCATGATGTTGTTGATGCTACAGAACGAAGCCACTGTATAAAACGGAGTCATTTGGCGTAATAACTTCTGCCTCTTTTTCTTCCTTCAGGAATGGCTGGCACAATCTATTTCCTGGCTGACCTCCTAGTGCCCACAAAAGCCAAGTTCCCTGCATTTGAACTATAAAAGGAAAGCCTACCCCCTGCAATGTGCTGCATGACCCTTTCTGTATAGCAGACCTGGACTAAGTGCTTTCATTGCTTTTCAAGGAAACGTAGAGTCAAACTGTGTACTCCATTGAGTTGAGTTGTTGTTGTTTTTCAGAACTTGTCTTTGGTTCCTTTTGTTTATCATTTACTTTTACTTAAAAGTATCCAATCTTTTAACTTTAACCTCAATTTCTTCCTAAAGGTAGGATGAGTGATATGTACAGTGTTTTGAGGGCATAGGTATATATATTTTTCAGAACTTGGAGGAAATCTCTTACTTAAGCTTATGAATATATAACTATCTGTTGCTGTTCTAAAAATGTTGAAAGGAAACTAAATGTAGATAAATACATGGTTATTGGTGGATATTGCCCTCCACCTTTATAGTATTTTTCCTCCAATAGGGCAGACAGTTTTATGACTGTTTTTCTTTAGGTGGTTGAGCTTTGCGCAGTGGCAGTATCGTAGCCAATGAGGTTTATCCGAGGCGCGATTATTGCTAATTGAAAATCTTTAGGTGGTTGATTGTGAAGGGGGACAAAAATATTAACCATATGCTTCTGAGACAAAAGTTGCACAAGCTGCAGCCTTGGTTTAAGGACCGAAATACCGCTTTTCAAATTCACAGTGCTGGTTTAACTAGAGATAAAGATACTTTCAGATTTGCTTCCTCTTAGTAGTAAAGCATCCGGGCTCTATAAGCCAGCATTTTTATCAAAAAGTTCTAAAATGCAATGGTGGTTTTGAAAATTCTGATTTGAAGGTCAGTTTCAAGATAAGCTAACAAAAAGTTTATTGTTTCTTCTAAAATAAGCAAGTGCATTTTTGAACGATTTATTTAAATTTGTTTGTTCTTTGGAATTAGTATAAGATCAGGAGACGAGTTTTCTGTATATGAATGTGTTGTGACTTCGGATTTGAGTCCATCCTGTCCACCGACCTTCTGAACTTTGACTTGTGTTTTACTTCCTTGGCAGTGACTGTACTTTAGTGCTCATTCTTTGGTACAAGCCATAAGATATTTTCCTTCCTTTCAATCCATCTGGATGTTTGTCTTTTTCCTAAATAGTACAGTACTCTACATCTCTTTAAAAGGGGGGAGGAGGGCTATGTAGCCAATAACTTGAACAAAAACACTAAGCTTTCCACAGAAATGCTATTTATTTAGGAGGTATTAGCCAGTGAAAATGTTTAGAACAAATAGATCCTATCTCTTTGCATATCCTAGGCTTAACTTAAATTCCTCAATTTCTGAGCCCTCGGGATCAGGATCCTATATTTATATGGTAGATGAAGGATCCCTAGTGCTTCACATTCTGTATAAATGTTCCGACTCATCAGCTTCCCCTCCCCTTCCTTCCTTCACTGCCTTTCCCAGGCTGGTTTCATTCTTTCTGTATGTTTCAACTGATTTTAGAACATTTTGCAGCTTTACAAAACAGGGTCTAAGAATTTTAAGTGTGCCTATTTCATGGCTTTCTCAGTCACAAAAGCATGCTATTTTTATTTTAACTTTGAACCAAATCCCACTGGGTATATGTTGGTTCCTGTGGATAGTAGTCCCCTATTATTTCACATTCGGCACCGAAACAGCTTATATTAATGGAAATTATCAGACCCTTGAAAGGCTACCGACAGAAGGATCTAAAAAAACAGCCCACTGCTCAGTTCCTAGGATTGGCTTATTCCTCTGTGACTCGTGCCAGTTGGGCAAACCTTGTGCCTCTCAGATGTCTAAGTGCTGCGGGTGAGCTGTGCCTTTCTCCCAGGCTGTTCCCATGAGCTGCGGTGGCATTTATAGTAAAGCTAATTTGCCTGGGGCTGGGTGTCCAACTTGAAAGAATAAAACCCACTTAGTTTAGTTAAATGTCTTACTAGACTGTGCCTGCACTTTTAGCTACTATAATTACTAACCAAGGGAAAGAGAGCAAAACACACTTTCTCTTAGCCAGAGGAAACTTAATCGTGGTACATCTCCAAACATCTTGATTAATTTAACCCCAGGAAGACTTCAAGGCAGGGAGAAGAACATTTTGAATAGGATTCTTGTTAATATTTAGATTGCAATTAGGGGCGCCTGGGTGGCTCAGTCGTTAAGCGTCTGCCTTCAGCTCCGGTCATGGTCCCAGGGTCCTGGAATCGAGCCCCGCACTGGGCTCCCTGCTCAGCGGGGAGCCTGCTTCTCCCTCTGCCTCTGCCTCACGCTCTGCCTACTTGTGCTCTCTTTCTATCTCTCTGTCAGGTAAATAAATAGGATATTTTTTTAAAAATATATTTAGATTGCAATTTAACTACTGCCATCCATCCATTAACAAATTTATCAATACAAACACAATTCAGTTCTCATTTTTTTCTTTAGCTTTTTAGGACTTACGAAACTGGCAGGATTTTCTGTTCCTGCCATTGTTGGTTTTCTTTATGGTTAAGAGGTAAGAAAATTTGATAGGATTTTAAAATCAAGCAAAAGCTATAAAAGTAAGACCAATGCCCTAATACCATTGTGGAAACAGAGAAGCTTTTATACCAGCTTTCTTAGTTTTAAAAGGAAGAGGCATCATTGCAGTTCTATTTCTGTTACATCCTTTCCCTCAGATATTTTCATCTTTTTTTTTTTATTATAAAAAAAAAAAAACCGCAAAAGTTGCTTCCCAAAAAACTCCACAGTATCTCTTCTCTCCCCATGCCGAGACTTGGGAGTAGAATCTTAAAAGCTTCCTGAGCAGCGTTCATCTAGCCTGTCATGTGTTTCTGTCCCCATAGTGAGGAGACATTACAGAAGCTAACTCTTCGCCATGGAAAACATGGGAACGTTATTACAGCCACTTCCGTCTAGCCCACTGGGCTTTGGTCTTTCATCCTTAGAGTCACTGGTCTCCTTTTCATCTTTGATGTCAGTTCTGATTATTTGGCATCAAAGCCTTCGTGGTAGGAAGAGTTTGAGGTAAGTGGATCCAAGACCACTTTGCTTCTCATTTCCACTTCCCTACATAACTGAATTGAGAGACATACTCTGCTCCTACGTCCCTGGGTTCATTTGTGTCTGATCTTCCAGTGCTCTGCATTCTGCTGGCTGATCTAAAATACAGAATGTGAAGAGTGAACATTTACTCATCTACTTCTTTGGCTGCTGGAACTCATCTGCAGTCCTTTATTACTCATACTGATTTCTGATTCCACTTCTGCTTTCCCTAAATAGATCGGAGCATCCTATTTGCCTATTGCTGAGTTGTAGAACTTTCTCTCCTGGAGGTGTAAAACAGAGTGTTTGGGATATTCAGGGATATTCACCCCAACATTATATTGCCATTTACTGGGAAGGGTTGGGATCATAAGTATTTCTGTGTTCTGTAAAGGATTTCACTTACTGGTTCTCAATAAAATTTTATTAGGACTCTATGTGTCAGGTGCTTTCTGTTTGCTTTGGTTTAAACTTAAGAAATATTTTCCTGGGGCGCCTGGGTGGCTCAGTTGCTTAAGCGACTGCCTTCGGCTCAGGTCATGATCCTGGAGTCCCGGGATCGAGTCCCACATCAGGCTTCCTGCTCAGCGGGGAGTCTGCTTCTCCCTCTGACCCTCTTCCCTCTCGTGCTTTCTATCTCTCATTCTCTCTCTCTCTCAAATAAATAAATAAAATTTTTTAAAAAAAATATTTTCCTTATATGGTAAAGGGAGGCTTTTTCTCTATACACTCATTCCCTAGGGTTTGTTCCTGACTTTTTCTTCATTGTCTTGTCAAACAAGATCTGCGGTACTTTCTGAAAATGGATTTAGAGGGAAATATTTTTAAATCTGATTATGATGGAATTAGGAGGAGTCTAGTAGGATCCAAACAAGTGAGTTAACCATCTCATACATATGAGAATCCACCCTGTGGTTAATGACTAAAGACCTAGCTCTAGAAATTGATTTCCCTGCTGACCACTTCTGAAAGGAACTTTGAATAGAGGACGAGATTAAATGAGGCATAATTATAAAATGTATATTCAGAGGTTGGACAGGAGTTCTGCTGAACCACCCGGCAGGACTTATGCCCATGCCACAAGCTGTGTGGTGTCACTTGGCACAACAGAGATTTGCCAAATTATAAAATACTTGTTTTCATCGCTGAATTAGATTTTGTCCTCTGGCACATATGATTAAAATGCCCTTCATACCCCTAGTCTAGTGTTTGAATGACTCATGATAGTAAGGATAAGTGCGCAGCTGGGTTTATTTCATTCCTTTGAACGAATGAATGTATAGATGGTGATAACCACGTCTTTAGATGCGGGCGGTGAGGCCTGGAGGGGACAGTGCCTCGCCGACGCCTCCCAGAGACTCCAAAGTGACGCCTGGGGCGTTCGCACTGACTCGCCACGAGATTACCTGGCAGGGCAGAAGGGCAGCCAGCGCCGTTCTCCGCTCTACGCTCCCTGGCTCCCTGGCTCATCCTCCGAATGGAAGGAAAACAATGACAAGCACATTAAATTGCACCACAGTTGTGAGCTCATGAAGAAACAAAACTTGAAGAACTAATTTGTCCCCTGCGACTTTCCCACAGTAGTTTGATTTATTTTTTCCTAACTCTGAATTAGAAAAGAACTTGGCCTCCCTCCTCCTTATACTCTCTGACTAGAATAAGGATTTTTTTTGTGTCATTTATTTTTCCCTCGATCATTCCCACTGTGGACTCTGTGTCATTAAAAGTTTCATGTATTCTCTGTAAGCATCACTGAAACAGAAAAACCTACAAGTCAGTCCCCTGATAATTTGCTCTCTTATTCTGTTTCCCATCCACACTCGCCCTTTTCCTTCTAAAGCTGAGGGTCAATTAACAAAGCAAGAGAACATTGGCTTTTTTACAATGGAGAACATATTGGCTTCATTGGTCCCATTATGTAAACTATCGAAACACAATTTTCCAGAAGCCCTGTGCTTGTGCATCCTCGGGGACTTATTTGACAATTTTGTGAGTAATGGGAGAAAGCAGCAAATACAATAAACCAAGAGGTAAAATAATGAGAATAGAGAAATGGATCTTAGCAGGACCACTGCTCATAATCGCCCAGTTTAATTTCACATTTCAACATTACGTTAACTTCTCAGGCACATGCAAATGACAACCATGGTGACATTAAATCTGCAGCTAATGTTTTATCCTCTACAAATACGTGTTTGAGAAAGCATTTGTGAGGCACTTAGTCATTATGCAGGGAAAGGCAGGACTCTTGATAAATCCGTTTATAAAATAGTGCCACAGTTGCTTAATTTCTCTTCTCTGATGGAGCTGGGATAGTAAGAAAGGCATCTGTAACCCCAAAAATACTGATGTGGTTCACTGTGAAAGTTGATGGTTAATATCGATCTCTCGAGATTTAGCACTGAGGGATTAACATGGGTACCGCCTTCCTGGTTTAATCCAAACTGGTAGCACTGTTGCTATACTGGAAACATGCCATTTCATTTAAACATTCCATGAGCAATGCTTTAAAACCGTGTTATCCCCCAACTGGACTAAATGTCACGGTCTGCACGCAAGTTGCCTGGCAGGGGCTTTCTTTGTGCATGGGATGGGGACCCCTCCTCTGACGACTCAGTCGGGTGAGGAAGACCAGTGATGAGACAAGCAGTTACAAGGCAATGTATTCGAATATTCCTGTTCATCCCCGACCTACTTTTTCTTGTTCCACAAATTTCAAGAATGCCCAGATCTTTCATGTGAACCATGTGTCTGGCTATTTGGAGATACTGGGGTTTATAATCCTGCAGAGAAGACACTTTGAAAGCCACTCAGCCCGTCCAGAAACACTCAAGAGTTCCTGATGATGGGTGAGATGGAAGGAAATTTGAGAAGCCAAAGTCACTTGCCCCCAAAATTACTTTGACTCAGTTGGTTGACTTCTCAAAAACTCCCAGCACCAGCATTATGAATGATTTAGGTTAAATCCACGTATGTCCCTCTGGAATCCAGTTAAAATGCAAGAATGTTCAAAAAGGTAGTTCTTCAATCAGCTATTAGTTATTAGTACCTTAGTACTTAGTTTCATGACCTATGCAGCAATTAAATTGAAGAACTTCAACCCGAACAATAATTGTGCTACTAGCATATGCTAGGTACAGCGTTTAGCTAGGATTAGGAAGATAAGATGATACCTGCTCACAAAAGACGTTGAAACCTAGAGATCAATATAAAAAATAATTTTCAACATGATAAGGAACCTCACCAGGACTGGCTTTCCTTGAGCAATTGGGGGGGGCGCAGGAGACGGAAGTATAGGAAAGTCAAGGAAACTCGTTTTAGGAAAAAAAAAAAAATTGAGGTCAGGGGATTTTAACCACATATGCATACAAACTACCTGGGGATCTTTTTAAAATGATTCCAAAATGTCCATCTGATGGGGCCTGAGATTCTGTAGTTTTAACAAGCTCTGAGACCATACCCGTACTGCTGTCCACAGAGGCTACTTTGAGAACAATGGACCCGGGTAGTCCAGCATGGAATCCCGACTCAGCAAAGAAGGAAGGTCAGGAGTTGGCCATAGAATTGAAAGAACTGACTTACTGTGTGTCAGTCAAAGAGCATAAGCACCAGTAGCAGAAGCATCAAAGAGCTGGGACGGTTGGAGTCTAATTTGTGATGTGACACAATTCCACATAATGTCCAGGCAATAAGGTCTGGGGGTGATTAGTTTTCTGTGCTGGTTATCATAGCAGGTGAAAGAAGCAGACTTGGAACAAATATGTATCTATAATTTTATTGGGAAAATTGCCAAAGATTTGGTGTCTTTTCAATCCAAAGAGTCGTAGGCTTCTGGTAATAGAATCATAGGGAAGACATCTATACTAAAGAATTAATTTGAGTCATCTGGAATCATCAAGGTTTGTATGAGGAAAATGAGACCCCTCTGCCCTCTGTTTAGAACTGACAAGGAGCCATAATTGGCCAGCCAACTTTTGGAAGGTGTTTGGAATGCAAAAGCAGGTCTTCACATTCCTTTTTCCACTTTTTTTTTTTTTTTCTGAGCATGTTCTGAGTAGTAAATGTACGCTAGAGGTGTTGTTTGCCTTTATTTGCCATCATCTGTCATTTGCCATGTTTCCTAAGTGAGAATTCCATAAAATGGTACGGCTCTATAGTGCCTCAGGGGCCATTTATCAAGGGACATTTCAGAGCGAAAGAACAGGGCTGATCCAGGAAGCTTGGAAACTTCATTAGAAATAGAAAATACGGGACCCCTGGGTGGCTCAGTTGGTTGGGCGTCTGCCTTTGGCTCAGGTCGTGATCCCAGTGGGTCCTTGGGATCGAATCCCACATGGGGCTCCTTGCTCAGCGGGGAGCCTGCTTCTCCCTCTGCTTGTGTGCTTGCGCGCTCTCTCTCTCTCTCTCTCTCTCTCTCTGACAAATAAATAAAAATCTTTAAAAAATAAAAAAATTTTAAAAAAATAGAGAATACATGTTAGTTCTCAACTCCTAAACTGAAAGGTTGATACAAGTGAGTATGGTCATATACTCCTGTTCTTATATTAAGCTTTCTCGGTGTCTCCTGGGTGTTCTGTACTAGGAACCGATCCAAGTTTAGGTAATTCACATTACCAGTGCATATACTACCACTTATTACAGAGAATGTTTATCTTTTACAAGTTCTCACCTGCCCAGGTAAAGTTGAGTCGCATTCACATTCTATTGAAATATACTAAAAAGACTCTCTGTAGGTCTGGCTTTGATGGCCTTTTCCTGTTTCCTTGAAAAGGCCAATTTATCCACTTTTCTACTTCTCACTCCTTCGAATTGCCCCTGAATATCTTAATTCAGTTAATGGTGTTACCTGGCTGCTTCAGCCAAAAAGTGAATTAACATTCTCAGATTTGTTGGTTCTCAAAATGCAGTCTCCAGACTGGCAACATTAAGTAGCATTACCCAAAACTTGTTGGAAATGCACATTCTAAGAGCCCAACCAAGACCTACTAAGTTATGACCTCCTGTGATGGGACTCAGCCATCTGCCCCCAGTAATTCTGATCACAGTCAAGTTTGAGAACCATTAAATTTTAAAACAGGTTAACATTACATGTTCTATAGACATTCAATTTACAATTTAGAGTTTTCGATTTGCTGTGTTCTTATATTTTAGCACACACACATATATTTGTAGACCCATGAAATATTCCTAAGGCCCAAGGCACTATGTATTTCCTAGTGGACAAAATGATGTCGTTCTGGTTTATTACCGCCAAAAAAGATGTTCTGAGAACAATAGGTACAGTGCAATCATCTTGCTGCTAAGAGAAGAGACACTGTGGATAAAATATTTTCTGAAATAATCTGTTTAGATATGTCTTTCCCCACCAGACCCTCCACTTCTTGCAAGAAGGGGCCCTATCTAAGTTCTGGAGCCACTGCATATACACAATGTACAG